GCAGGAATGGGGGAATTATAGTACCAAAGGGGAAACACTGTGGGACAGTGTCAGAATGAGATGTGTGGGGTTTTTTTTCTATGCATGTGGTGTGGCAGAAGTGACTAACGGTGGTGTAATGCTTGTGAAGGGAGGGAGAGAGAAGTGAGTCAGGACGCAGTGAGGATCCCGGCTAGGAAGAGGTCTGTCCTGGTTTGGTGGGTCAGCAGAGAAGCAAGTAGTGATGCTTAGAAAAAAGTTAGGAGTAGGAAAAAAACTGTCCTAGAGGTGGGATGTTATGGCTGTTGGGAGGAAGAGATAGGATGAAGGAAAACATACAGAAGTAAATACTTCTTTGTCTTTTCTATGCCATCCTAGCTTGCTCATCAGAAAGGTGTAACTGTGTTGAGGACTTAACGCCTGCCTGGAATGCAAGAAACCACTCCAGAAAGGAAAAGAGCTTAAGCTGCTTTATTTCCAAACATAATCAGGTTTATTCATTAAACACAGGTGCTGCTAATCCTTTGCACTAAATTTGCTTGATGTAGCTATGTTTTGTGGCTGAACATGACACTAGATATTGTACCTCTATGGGAATTGCTTGTGGATAGCGAAGAGCTGTGGGATCGGAGCAGTCCTGGTCTAGATACTTGCTTGGATTGGTATAGTAGAGACAATAATCAGTAATGGGAATAAGTCCTATGTTAGGCACTAACATAAACCACCGCCTGTAACACTGTTAAATGGATGACATTTTGCAAAGATTGTATGAGTTAATGAAATGTGCGGCAAAGTGGCAGAGCACAGGTTCCAGCTGGGTTTTGGCTTGTGTAGGTGGGGAAATATTGGTGGGCTCTGCACTGTATTGCTCTGAGGCTGCTGTCAGCTGTGCCCCTTTGCTGCTGTGAGGAAAGCAAGGGAAGATAAAGCCAAACCAGTAAAGGATATGGCTATTTTTATGTTGTAAGCTAGCCAAGAGCCGTAGGGGAAAAATAATAAAGCGCCTACAGAATATAGGATTTTGCACCAGGAAACAGAATATCTGCTGTTGCAACCTAAAGAAAATGTTTGACTAAGGGGCAAGGACTTCATAGTGAAGTCCTGAAGAAGGCTGGATTTGGCAATCTACGAGGTTAATTATGCCAGAAGAAAGATTTTTAGGCATACTTTAGAAAATAAGAGCTAGCCTGCCTCAGGAATGGAGAGAGTCTTAAGCTAGCTGCATGGCCAGCAGTGTCAGAGGAAGGTGCGCTAAAGCATGGAGAGCCTGGTTTGCCATGGGGACAGGGTTTATCGCTGGAAAATAGCTTCCTCCTTTACAGTGGAGCTGGGAAAGTCTGTGGTTGCAACACATTGTCAGTTTACAGGAATCCTAGCACAACAACACTATAATTGGGTACAAGGGAAAAATGACAGCAGGTCCATAGAATGTTGAAAAGGCGTGGGATGAAGCTGGCAATAGTGGAAAGATGTGAGCCTAATACATCTGGTAATAAATCCTGTTGTCTTGGACAATTTACAGAGTGAAAGCTATCATACCGCATTCTGACTATGTTTCAGCAATTAGTGGGCTGAAGGGTATAGAAAAGATGTATTTGCAGAAGAGGAGGATGCAGAGTTACCTGCAGAATAACTTCAAAAAGAGCCCCTAAAAGAATTGCTCCAGTAGACAGAAAATCCTGGATTTATGTTGAAAGGCTATTCCAGTCAGGACTATACTTCACCCTCTCCACTGCTTAGGAAAGAGAATATGAAATGCTTGCAGACAGTTTTTAGGAACTGCCTGTAAATCTCTCCATCTCTTCACTATTTTTGTTTTTCAGCTGAATTTATAAGTCTAAGCAAACTTTGCAGAAGATAGGCTGAGAGGGAGGAAAGAGAAAAAAAAAAAAAAGAGGGGGGTCAGGAAGGTGGGAATGCTGGGGACTAAAATCCCAGTGATCAATGTGAGTCAGCTACAGTTCCCATGGGGCATGTGCTGACAAGTTAAGGCTGTGCCCTGCTCTGTGTTCTTACAAGCCCTGAAGACAGGTGCTTGCCAGCCTGTGCAGAGGCAGGCTTAGGCAATAAGACAAGCAATGGAATGGCGCTCTCAAGTACTACAGAACCTTTTTTTTATCCTGTTTTGTTTATTTTTTTACTGCTGGCAGGAGACTCGTAACATGAAGACAGGTGAGGTCGGAGCACCCTGGGAGGACAGGGGTGTGCTGTGTAGCCCTGGAAGCTATACAAGGAGCCCGGTGCTTTGCAGTGGAGTAAATGAGTCCCCGCAGCTGCTGCTGTTGCCCCTGAGGGACACCCCGTGGGGCTGGGGGATGCTGTCCTTGGGTGAGAGCTGCTGCTCCAACTAAGGAGTGCAAGCACTAACTTAGCGCAGCCTTAGCTGGGTTTTGTTGGGTTTCTATGTTTAGAGGGTGGTTTAAGCCTATGGCTGCTGTATAATTATGATGATTATAAAATAGCCACCTCTTCAATTTCTGCCTGTTGGCAGCTCTGAGGAAATGACCTAATTTGAACTGCTAGCAGTGAGGATATTGAACCCTACCAAAAGCCACCTTTTAAATGAACCTAGAACATCTAGACAGATGCCAGACTTTGCTGCCAATGACAAAAATAGGTTAGTGAGATTTTTTTTTTCCACTGCTGGATGCAGGCTTCTACATGCGTGGCTCCTACCAAATGAATCCACAAGGCAGCCATTCATGGCATGTTGAATGCTTCTCTTCTCTAGCTGCCTATTTCATGTTCAATAGATATTCAGACTGTGGCTGAGAAGTGACCTTTTATGCCTTGTTCTTAGTGCTGGCCTTTCGTCCCTAACTTGTCATGCACTGGGCTACTGCACTTCTTGCTGTTCTGTCCCACCAGCAAAATCGGTCCCTCTGAAACACTGACATGGCAGGTCCTGTGGGATAAA